ACGATTTTTTATTACCGCTTACCAAAATCGTCTAAAAAATGTGCGAACAGCCTCTGTATTTCCTTATTCCATTATTCCTGCTTTGTATATATTGTGTGTAATTATCCCACCTTTCTTGCTTTACAAAGCAGGTGCATCTTGTGATTATGTGTGTCCACGACTAGTTCGGTAATATTGTTCTGTGCGTAAGGGATTGTAATAGATTAAACGGACTCGGATGATAAGTCAATAACATTTTATTTTTATGAAAAGAAATATTTCAGAACTCTGGAATTTTCCACAGAAATATTCGTACAAGTGTTCACAGTATCATGCAGTATAATCAGTAGTTACACTTATTATTTGTTTTACTGTCTACTAAGCTACTAAGAACGTTAATCTTTAAATGCATGAATTTTTATTACTCAAAAGGCGTGCGAAAACAATGCGGTTTACGTCGAATCAGTATGAATGTCCGTTTCACTTTTCAAACTGATGCCTCCCAATGTTATCGCCCTGTATTATATTTGAAGAAATTAAATAATGAAGAATGTATGTATGTTTCTCGCATTGTGATAAAACAACGGTACCTAGAGCTATCCAATTTTGAATGACGTCATCCTACTGCGAATATGGGCATCTGAAAGTCCAAATTTGGAATTTGTTTTATTATCGATTTCATATTTTGTAAAATTTTAAAGAATTCTTGATTAACAAACTCGAGGATTTCAAAGCGAGCCATGGCAACGTTGTACAGAAAAAAGCATTTTTATCTTCAGCGCGTGAGTCTGTATCGGAAATTCTAAAGATGAGCTCATTTTAAAACTATCTTGCGATATTGCTCTTAATTAAGCAACAATCTTAAGCTGAATTTTATGGTTTAAGTGCGAAGAATGTGGTATTTGATAAATAAACGTAGCACACAAAATGTTAAAAAAATGCCCCTTTGAACGTAATTTAAAATCTGAAACCTTTCAGATTTTTTTTATTATTATTAAGAATTAACTAAATTATTCATAAAACCTTGTTAAGGATTCAATAAAACTTTCACTAATATCCAGTAACTTTACCATCACTTATAGTTCGATGACATGGCGTTTAACGTGTTAAAGAGGAAGATTCGTAGTTTAAAAAAAAAACCTGTCTATGTTTTAACGAGTACATACCTACCTGCTTATCTTAAATGCTATAAAAACTTACCCATTTAAACCGCTTTTATCTTTTCTAGCAATGCTACTGTTATCTCCTATGGATATAATTTATTTTGCTATTTTGGGCACTGAAGTAAGATGTAGCTAAGAGGTTGAAGATCATCACAACATACATACAGATAAATGGCAATCCTTTCGAGTCACTGCCACCACGATAGAATATTCTGACTTCCGACGATATTAATGATGGCATTCTCCGCGAAAATATGAGAAGCACTTTAGTGAATTCCTGAATCCTTTCGAGAGGGGGGGGGGAAGAAGTAAGTGGGAAAGAAAAAGGCCTTTGGCTTCTCCTTATGGGTAGACATCTTGCCTGCACTGCCATTTCATTTATAACTCCTCTTTAAAAGTCTTCCCAGGAGCCATTTAATCGATTACGCGGTTGAGGTTAGAACACCCTGCATTTCACCACGTGAAGATTGTTGGAAAGTTGAAGACGTGGATGAAAGATAGAATGAAGACAGAGAGGCTAAAAAAGTACGTAGTTAGGAGATTTATGATGCAGACTTCTGAAGAAGGTGGTCATTTGTCTTGAATGAGGTCGGCCATTGTCGACAAGCCTTTCGTAGTCATATTCCATAGATATGGCGTTGCTGTACCAGAATGGGTTGCTCGGGAGAAATGTGTCATCTCGCTCAAGGCTAATAAAACTGGCTCGATTTCAGGTACCTTCAAAAATTTTGGTTGGGTTAACCCTTTGCGGCACAGTGTGTCCGGTCTGGACGCACCTAAACATTTCCTTCTGTACGCACAGAAAAGTTGAATAAAAAAAAATTTATAGGTTACTATAGGTTACTCTGAACCTTCTTTATTTATAGTAGATGGCAGCTCAACACAAACAAGTCCATATATTTTAGCCATGTTTAGTTTTTTAAGACCCTCATTTTTCAAAGACATCTTCTGGATTTTTTTAGGGTATAAAAGGAATTGTTGGAAAAGAAATTTATATGTTATTTTTTGGCTGTATGCTAATCTCCTTATTCTATATTAGCTTTAAATTTTTACCTTGAAATCTTGCCTAAAATGAAACCGGGCTCACCGATCATCTAGGTCAACTGAGAGTCTGTATTCTTTGTCTGTATCTGACTATTAGTATTATCTGACTGGTCAATTATGTCTGTATTCTTTCTTTGTCTTATTTGTTTCTCCGCATCTCATCGGTCAGTTCATTGACAACAATGCTCGTTTTAGCACTCTTTTCGAAGCTCTATTCAATCAGTGTGCCACTTTGGGCACACCCACAGAATTAAAACGATAAGTGCTATCTTCACAAAATTTTACTTGTGTACTCCTCTAGGCCTAATTAGACTGCCTAACTTTTTTTTTTTTTTTTTTTTTTTTTTTTTATCAAAACTTCGATTTTAAAAGGTAGCGTGTCGGAAAGGGTTAATACATAGCAGATAAACGTATATATTCTTGTTGTCATAAATGTTCCTTATTTCTCGGAAATTACACGGTTTCATTAAGCAGTGATAGTGTTCAATAAATTTCGGTCCTTAGACGCAGGTCAGATAGAGGATTTTCTCACGTCCGAGAGTAATCACGACAGAATTCAACAAGTTCTGTTATCAGCAACTTGTCACGATGATAATTTATAATCAATTCGTTTTTACTTAGTGGATTCTTGACGTATCAGTATTATCTGACTGGTCAATTATTAGTCAATCAATCATTAATTAGTGATGTCTTTTATCAGTTACTGTTACTCATCAGTCGGTGTTCACGTAATTTAATAGTCATTTTAATTAGTTATTGGGGAATAAATAATTTTATCATGACCGAATTCATTCATAAAAATAGAAATCATTCATAAAAAAAAAATGAAATCTAAAAGCTTTTAGAATTTACATTACGCCTAAAGGGGAGTTTTTTTTAACGTTCTGTGTGTTACCTTTATTTATTAAACATCGTGCTCTTCGCACTTAAACCATAAAATACATTTCAGCAGCAATATCGCAAAATAATTTTAAAATGAGCATATCTTTAGAATTTCCAATGCTCGGTCTCACGCGCTGGAGATAAAAGTTTTTTTTTTTTTTTTTTTTTTTTTTCTTTTCCTGTACAGTGTTGCCATTGATCACTTTGAAATCGTTGAGTTTGTTCATAAAAAATCGTTAAAAGTGTTACAAAATATAAAACTGATAATAAAGAAAATTCGAAATTAAAAATTCGGGCTACCCAGTGCCCATGTTCGGTTGGAGGGCTAAGTTATTCAAAACTGGATGGCTGTAGGTACTGTTGTTTTTTCACAGTACGAGAAACATTCATGCAGATTTTTCATTATTCAGTTTCTTTAAATATAATACATGGCGATAATATTTTGTGGCAACAGTTTGAAAAGTGAATCAACGCAGAAAGTGAAACGACGCAAAATGCCATTTTGAGACTAATAGCCCTTTGGGTCTGACGCCGCACACAACACGCACACTTATCCGTACTTAAACAACTTTTAAATTATTGATAATTCTTCAACTATTGGATTCTTATGCTTCAAAATTATTAAAGGCTTAAAAACTTTAACCGGAACATAAGAACAACATAATTTAATCATTTTTAAAGCAAACGCCTGCACAATTTATCAACATCTAACAATAAAATAACTCAGCTCATCGAGCCGAATAACAGAAGTGTGTAGCATATATATATATATATTTGTAATAATAAAATTCCATAGTCAAGAATACACTTAAATTCTAACTGTATGTTCGTTTCATTTTTAATGGCGACGTTCTCTTATTTGAAAGTACGTGGAATTAAATCCACAGCCCCGTAGTCAAGTTGTTTTTCCCGCCTTTTCTACACGTGCAGTTTTAGAATGTTCTGGAAATATTTAAAGCGAACTGGATTGGCTGACGAGGCTGACGTCATTTCTTGGAAGCTCCGCCTTTCCAGAGGCTATAAAAGGACTCGCAAAAGGAATATCGGGGCTTTTCTTAAATGTCACGATGCAGTAACTTCATACAAAAAGTTATAAGTAATTCTTTTTATTTACTCCGGATATCTGATATTTGTAACTGCTATTTCCCCTGACCAATAATAAATGGATCCTGTTTTTTAAACTTATCGTCTGATAATTTAAGCTACGACTAAAGCTGAGACATCATATATATATATAAGTTTGGTACCGCCGATTGCAACCAAAAAGGGAGGTGCATAACTACATGTTATAGCAGTCCTATGTACAAAGTTTAAACGTTCTGAGGCTACTCCTTTTTGAAGTTATGCGAGATATATACGTGCATACAGACATCACGAAAAATATCTCTTTTGAATCCATTTTAAATCAGTTTTGTAATTTCGTTTGGGAAAAAAAAAGAGTCCTTTATTCTGTCCTTACGTACAGATGTTACGGAAATACATCGTTAAATTGCATTCGATAGCGGTCAAAATGGATATTTTCGTTGAAATATGATATTCGGAATTTTTGGTGATTACAATACTGACCAAAAATGCATTTCATTTCTATATTAAATAGATATTTTGTTGCTTAACAGGGGTATTCTTTCTATAATTACCGCATTTGGAATAGTTGATAAAATCTATTTTGATATTGTCATGGCGGTAAGAGTGACTTTGGCCGTTAAGTGGAAATATTTTCATGCTAGCATAAATAATTTCATTTCACAATTCTGAAAGATTTATACGAATACTTCACAACTGATGTTACTCAGGAGCACTTTTTAATATATTTATCAGAAAAAAGAATAATATATGTAGTTTATTGTACTGCTAATCTGTTTGTACAATTTTACTGAATATTAAAATATACTTTATGAATAATCCAATAAAATATTTTCTTTTTTGTTGCAGGTACCTGAGTGACAACAACTTAACGAAACTAGAAGATTCACCTTTCCGAAATTTAACACATCTTTTCGAACTGTAAGAAATTTTTTTTGTCTTAAATTTTTTAGTTGCATTTATCATTTAAAGCGTCAGGAATTTGGAAAGATGTTTGTAAATGTGTTGGTAGAAGAATCGAATGGGAGAAGTGTATTCATTAATGTCTTAAATATACAGGGTGTTTATAAAGTCCCGGACCCATTTTGATGTTTAATAACTCATAAAATAATAAAGATAGATTAATATCAATAATATAAATGGTTAAATAGACTCAAAAAGTTTCGTGACCCTTTTCAATGAACGCCCACGTGTGCCCCCTTCGTCGCACGGAAAATATCAAGTCGATATTCAATTTCACGCCAGGTACCGGCAAGCATGTCGGCATCCACAGAGGCTATTGCAGTTGTCATTCTGGCTTTTAGGTCATCCATGTTCGACACTCCTCCTGTAAACGTTGTCCGTTACAAATCCCCAAAGGAAAAACTCCAGCGGCGTTATATCAGGTGATCTGGGTGGCCAAGGAATTGGACCTCCTCGCCCAATCCATCTTCCTGTAAAATGGTCATTCAAAGAACTACGAACGATGGTGTCCCGATGAGGTGGTGCACCAACTTGTTGCAAAAAGACATGTGGCTGAAAAGTAAACATAACATTGCAATAGTTGCCAAAAACAAAAGACAGAAAAATGTAATTAATAAGCAGACGATATTTAGAAAAGTACAGATATTTAGACTGGAAAATGAAATTATCTGAAATGAACCACACGCGCAGACGATATTTACAAAAGTAAAGATATTCAAACCTGAAAAGGAAAATATATAAGTTATTCCATCAATAAATGCCATAAGTTCGTTTATATCTTCATTATTTTATGAGTTATTAAACATCAAAAATGATTCCGGGACTTGAACACCCTGTATATTACGTACCATTTTATAAATCTTCCATGCATTATCCGAAATTTCCTAAAATATAATTCCACAGAAATCTTGTTAATCACTCACTTTATTTAGAGCATGAAACCGTGTCTATGAGTTCAGGGGCAGGATCACATCCTCTATTGTTATCAACATTTATAAGGCATTGTTTTTTCTAAAATTTTGTTTGCTGCATTGATATTTCCTTTTGTGTGCGCGTTAATGTTGTAATCATTCATATTCAGGTTGCTTTGTATCACCCTAAATAATCATTTGTTTCGTTTATAAAGGCATTTTGTCCCGCCTTTCTGCATGCTTTCGTGTTGTACCGGTAGCACACTCGGCGCGTATTCGAGAGGTCAGTCCCAGCGAAGGCATTACACATTTTTGATATAGAATTGCTTCAAAAAAATCTAATGTCTCTATATTGGTACTGAAACTAAAAAGAAAGGTAGTGGATCATGATTCTTCACCACCATAATTTGGCGATTTGGTCCCCTAATCGCCAGTCTCTCTTTAAAAGGGGGAGTATATAAGGTATTTTCTACATGCCTTCGTGGTGTAATAGTAGCTCACTCGATGGGTTTTTCGAGAGGTCTAGGTTCGAGTCCCGGCGAGGGCGTTGTGGATTTCTTTCATTTCCTTGGTTCGAAAAATTCTAAAATGATTCTACAAAGGCGCCCGAACTAAAATGTGGTGGATGATGATTCCTCATCACCAGGATTCGGCGACTGGATACCCTCAGTTCTAGTTGCCCTTTAAGGCCGCTATCACGCATTCGGTAGAACAACTGTTTGGAACATTTTTTCCTGTTTGGAACAATTTTTTCTGTTTGGAACAATTTTTTCTGTTTGGAACAATTTTTCTGTTTTGTTACAACAGCCAGTCACCACAGATCGCTTTGGGGTTGTAACGTTTTAAGCTATTTTATCGTCCACCACAAAGTTCTGAGAAAAGGAATGACCACCTCGAAAGTTCCCACGGACAGAGCATTTCTTAGTGAATTCTCGGAAAGAGGAAGTGACCAGTAGTCACAAAACAATCTCAGATTTTTTGTTCCTCTTATAGTTATTCGAAAAAAGACATTGTTCAGTTCCCTTTCATCAGTTTATAAAGGTTCAGTGTCTCAGACCACCCGGTTTGATACCCCCAGTTGGAATCGAAAAGTTCCAGCGAACTTTTTCCGAGGTTGTCTTCATCATATCCAGTTTTTAATTAAAGCGCTCTCGCCAATCAAGAGGCGCATCTAAAAATTACGGACAAATAAGGATCCTGGAAGTTTTTCCGACACTCCCAGGACAATTGGAACAAAATCATGGAATGCAGTCCCAGAGAGAGAAAAAAGTGAGAGTTATTTGCAGTAAGTATAGAGAAAAACATTCTCTCGGGTTTTCTAGCTCCGCCACGAGCAAATTTTTGCTTCGCTTTGCGTAGAGCGATATTAATATCTCGGCCAAGAGATTTACAGCGAGGTAGCCGGGTTCGCCGTTACCTTACGAAGAGCATCCTGCTCGGACACAGCTCAATCCGGCAACCACCGGCTTAGAGATTCGATTTACTGAAGACAGCCTCATCTTGAGCCTACCCTCATCTTGAACTATATCCAAACAAAAACTTTCATCTAAACGGGAACTTATTCACCCTACTGTGAGAACAATATTTTATACGTTTATTTATTTTTATTTATTTATTTATTTATTACATATAGCGTAGAAAGAACCGAAATAAACTTATTTACGCTCTTGTCTTTCGAATTCGTCACAGGGTTGACACAGGAAAAACTGGTTCTCCGTTACAAACAAGCTGATAACAATCGAAGCTGATAGCTGATTGGTTGAAAACGAACAATTTGCAATTTGTTTCGAAAGGAAGGAAAAAATCGCGCGTCTTTCTTTCAGTAGTAAACCAGGCAAAAATATTGTCCGAAACAGTTGTTCGTGTGAAACAAATGCGTGTGTGATATGGGCCTAAAAGGAGTAGTATGTAAGGTATTTTCTCTCTTCTTTCATTTGCCTTCGTGGTGTAACGCTAGCACACTCGGGCGGCCGAGCGACTGGAAAGGTTTTCTTGACTGCCTTCTTTGATCATCTTGTTTACTCGATTGGTTGGTGAAAGTTACCTCAAATTCCAATTGCTATTGCAAAGCCCTTAAACGTTTTAACATGAAGACTGCGGACAATCCATGCAGAATGTTGTTTCTGGACAGTGCGTTTTGAGAAATGGAAGGCCATGTATATACTTTCTCAGAAATCTGACAATTCAGCTGGACTGTGTTATCCCACCTACGATCTTCACCCCGAGATTTTCTCATGCTCCATCCTAATATTTTCAATGTAATTTACTGCAAACTTATTAGTCTATACCGATGTATTCATCATTATTGTAATCTGCTGTAAACTACTGTCTTTTTATCATCCTATACTGCATTTTTATCATACTGTACTGTATTTTTATCAACCCATAATATCTCTACAACTATATCTTTGGCTTCTCTTCAGAAGTTTACCCTCGTGCTGTATCTTGTATTAAGTATAATCATATATCACTTATTAGAAGTCTTATGCAATAACATATATGACTTCGTATTTACATTGTATTATGTTAAATGTATCGTAATCTGCTATTTACACAAATGCAACAATTCCTTATTGCCAAGGTATACTACAAATATTTAAACTGTATCATGCCATATGCACGTCTATTTTTAACTGGCATAATATTTTCAATGTATTTTACCGCAAACATATTAGTCCATACCTTCGTATTCATCATTACTCTAATCTGCTGTAAACTACTGTATTTTTGTCATCCTATACTGGATTTTTATCGTACTGAACCGTATTTTTATCATATTATAGTCTCTCTATAGTTATATGTTTGACTTCTCCTCGGGAGTTTATCCTCGCGCTGTGTCATGTATTAAGTATAATGATATATCACTTGTTAGAAGTCTTATGCAATAACATATATGACTTCGTATTTACATTGTACTATGTTAAATGTACCGTAACTTGTTATTTACACAAATGCTACAATTTTACTGCCAAGGTATACCACAATTGTTTGTAATCAATCATTCATTTTCAATAATGTACTCACGTATTTGAATTAGTGTAGTCTTAAGGGTTCTCTAGATCATGGTGGACGTGGTGCTATACTAATTAACCGTATGGTAGAGGCATAGTGCCCCCGTTCCCCGTTCCTCATCCTTATCCATCCTAATGAAGAAAAATGGAAGCATTTTGCACCAGACATAAAAGTACAAGATTCGTGATTTTCTCCATGTGTAACGTGTATACGAGCCAGTTTCCCTTAGAAAGTCCTCCACGAAGGCATCCCCCCTCTTAGGCAGATAGCCCTCGAGGCTTTACCATAATCACACACTCACTAGCATACTCGTCGTGTATTCGAGAGGTCCAGGTTCGAGTTCCAGTCGGGGCATTGCACATTTTTCCCCGTCTGCTGTTTCAAAATAGCCTAATAACTCTATATATTCATTCAGATTCATTTTTATTCAACGTATTGGGAGAAGTAATCGCCAGTAAAATCTCTATTAGTAGATCTCTGTGAGTAAAATCTGTATCAGTAAGTCAAGAACTGTTGGTTCACAATACCAGTTATAGATGGTTCCATGCGATTGGCAAGGCCAAAGAAAGCAAGTTCTGGGACTACAAAAAAAAAAAAAAAAAAAAAAATCTGAAGCTGTTGAACGGAATAGCATATTCGTTCAAACGATTATGTTATGAGACAGAGTTTACACTAGATAAGCCGATTGTATTATTTTATAGCACCTGCGGGCTATCTGCCTAAGAGGAATGCCTTCTTGCTTTCTTTCTTCTAAAAGAAATTGACTCGCTTTCACGTTACATATGAGGAAAATCGCAAAAAGCAACTACAGAGGCTGTTCGCACATATTTAGAAGATTTCGGTAAGCGGTAATAAAAAATCGTTTGCTGTAAAAGAAGTAATTGCAATTCTACTATGTTTTTAAAAGTCAAGATTATCGTCTGTGGCTTGAAAGTTTTATTTTTATTCAAAATGGCGAATTTAACAAACCAGTGGTTCGAAGGCTACATTGACGCTCCTTCCGAAGAGAAATATGCACATTCCGTTATCCAAAAA